GGAGATCCTGTGCTCTTGGAAACTTTCAACACTCTAGAAATAGTTTTATACCCTTCCCCAGATATACACTGTAGAAAACATTAAGGGCACCTTCCTTATATTGAGTTGCAACCCCCCTTTTGCCCTCAGAACAGCATCAATTCGTTGGGGCATGGACTCTATATGGTGTCGAAAGCATTCCACAGGGATGCTGGCCCTTGTTGACTCCAATGCTTCCCACAGTTGTGTCAAGTTAGCTGGATGTCCTTTGGGTGGTGGACCATTCTTGATACACACGGGAAACACTTGAGCCGTGAAAAACTCAGCAGCGTTGCAGTTCTTGACACAAACCGGTGCACCTGGCACCTACTACCATACCCTGTTCAAAGGAACGTACATATTTTGCCTTGCCCATTCACCCTCTAAATGGCACACATACACAATCCATGTCTCAATTTTCTCAAGGCTTAATAATCCTTAATTAACCTGTTTCCGTTCCTTCATCTACACTGATTGAAGTGGATTTAACAGGTGACATCAATAAGGGATCATAGCTTTCACCTGGATTCACCTGGTCAGTCTATGTCATGGAAAGAGCAGGTGTCCTTAATGTTTTGTACTCTCAGTGTATGCCTCATCACAATTCTCATCACAAATCTCAGAGATCTACGGACAGTTCCTTGGATTTAATGGTATAGCTTCTGCTCTGACATGCACTGTCAAATGTGGGACCTTATATAGACAGGTGTGTTTCTTTCTAAATCATGTCCAAACAATTACATTCGTCACAGGTGGACTCCAATGAAGTTGTAGTGACATCTCAAGGATGATCAAAGAAAAATGGATGCAACAGAGCTCAATTTGGAGTGTCATAGCAAAGGGGTGCTATCGCCCTCACAATAGTATAGGCATTGGTTGAAGCTCAATGTTAAATGAAAATCTCCCTAGTGTCATATCTAAGCCAATATGACACCAATCTCAATGAAAATTCACAAATCAAATTCACAAATCAACTTGATTGGAGGTGCACAACACACTTCCCGCCTCTCGTCATGAGCCGTCCGGCCGTTACCGAGAACCACATACTGGATTTTTTAACAGGGTCGTTAGCAATTTAGTTTTAAGAGTATTTTTTGCACCTACCTAGCTCTAAGGGGACCCACGCCGATGTCTAGCGCCTACCTACTAAGCCAACATATGGAATTGTTTTAAGATGGTCATACCATGGATCATTTAGCTATTTGATTTTGAATTTTAGGATCCCTTTACATATCAAAAAATATAATAACATATTGGCCTTTACTACTATAGCCCATACAAACGCTTTGAATAACACATTCCTAAACGGCAAATATGACAGTCAAAAAATAAATCATAAGGAATAAGTGTCTGTCCTATATCTAGGAGATATAAGAAATCTCAGGAAATATTTGTAAAAACAACAACACATATTTAACCCCTTATTTTTGTTGCCACAAAACTACCTCCATACTTCCATTCGTTTGTATGGGTTACATTCAGATGAGTCCAGTGTCACTTACTCAAACTGTTCGGACGCTACAGACAGAAGTTGGCACTTCTGTGGCACATCAGCGTTACCGACTTCAGACGAGTCCTGTGGTACTTGTGGGAGTTTGTATGCCAAACCATTCGGATGCTACAGACATTTGTGAGAAGACCGATTTTCGGGATGTCTCATGGTCTGACAAACACTGCTGTAGCTCGGTCACCTTCCACCGCAGATGAGGAAGGCCGACATAGGCGGATGCGGTGGATTGAGACACAGCCCATGCAAAAAACTATCTCTAGCTTAAACTGACAGATTTTGATGGGGATTTTTTTTTAATGTTACTTATATTCAGTACACCCTCCTCTGTTAATGTAATTTTCTTCAAGACATTTTCATCTAAATTTGCGCTGACTGTTTAACAGTGTCAAGTTATTTTTCAGTGTGTTCCCAGAAATCTGAACCCAGTAAGCAAAATTAAGTTTAAAAGACGTCTTTTCCAGTCGTTGAAGTCAGGTTCATTTTCAGTTCTGAATGAACGTTGAAAATTCTCTACTTTTGTTTTACTGTGTGGTAATGTTCTGCATTATGCTGTGCTCTGCTACAGTGGTTCTTAAACCTCTCTTCAGGGACCCCCAGATGTTTCACCATGTTGCTGTAGCTCTGAACTAGCTATTCAAGAGCTTGAGAATTAGTTGACAAGTTGAATCAGGTGTGCTAGCTCTGGAATAGATCAACTACATGGAACGGCCTCAGGTCCTGATGGAGAGGTTTGAGAACCACTACTCTACTGTACTGTGCTGTCCAAACTTGTGAAAAATAGATGTCTATGATTGGTTCAGATTTGGTCCAGTCCGGACCGGACCAAATCTGAATCAATCGTTTGGACCAAATCAAGGTCATTCCAGACCGGACCAAATCTGAACCAATTATAGATGTCTATGTTTGGACCAAATATAGGCCAGACCGGACGTCTCTGGGCGTTGAAATAAAGGCTGGTCCGGAGTCCGGACCCACCACATCTAAACCAAACATAGACGTCTATGATTGGTTCCGATTTGGTCCGGACCAGACCAGAGATTCCATAAAAACACGCCACTTCGACACAGCTATGACGTTTTCGTAGCAGGTTAGAACTTACGTAACAGGTTAGGAGAAATAACGCAGCAGGTTAGGAGAATTAACGTAGCAGGTAAGGAGGATTAGGTTAAGGTTAGGAAAAGGGTTAGGGTTAGCGAAAATGCTCTCCTAACCTGCTACGAAAAGTCACTTGTATTGAAGTGGCGTGTTTTTAGGGAAATCAAGGCCAGTCTGGACAGGACCAAAAAAAGACCAAAAAGTATAAAGTGACGCGGAAGGGCAAAAAATAATCTAACGACCCAGTTAGCTGTTCTGATACAGTCGGTAAATAACTAGTGTTTTTAAGTGCAACATTAGTAACAATGGTTTTGGGAAACAGCTCTGAGATTTAACGATGCACCTACAAAGGTTTTAACGATGAACTTAAGTCTTAAGATGCTTTTGGGAAACAAGGCCCTGGAAAATATATTATGTGAGATAAAACACATAATTTTTTTAAAACATAATTTGAAGTGGGAATTACATTTTCGAAGGACACCTTTTGCATGTGGAAATGTTGTATAATTTTGTATGATCACCTTCTGGTGTAAAAAACCATGGAAATTATGAACTATGAAAATGTATGCACTCACTTAACTGTAAGTCGCTCTGGATAAGAGTGTCTGCTAAATGACTAAAATGTCAATGTAAAATTAAATTCAAAACAAAAAACTATGTTTTAAGTGATAAATAGACATGAAGACAAAAAGAAAGTAAATTCATATGAGCACCACAATGCCTGCTTCACCCATGCTCTACCAAGGTTTGAATACTAAGCAACCTACATACACATTGTTTGAAGTACAATAGACCAACATAGCTACTGTAGTAGGTCAAAGCTGTATGCTGGAAAACCTTGGTAGAACATGGGTGGAGCAGGCATTGTGGTGCTCGTGAATTTACTTTCTTTTTCGGCTTCAGACCAATTCCTACTTCTCACTTAAAATGTATTTCTTTGTTTTTAATACTTATGTAAATGAGATATTTCTGTATTTCATTTTCAATACATTTGCTAACATTTCTAAAAACGTGTTTTCACTTTGTCATTATGGGGTATTGTGTGTAGATGGGTGAGATTGTTTTTATTTTATTTTATCCATTTTGAATTCAGGCTGTAACACAACAAAATGTGGAATAGGTAAAGGGGTATGAATACTTTCTGAAGGCACTGTAGATTCAGACATACTACATCAAGTTCTTTCAAAACTAAATAACGGATTCCCAGGGTTGTGTTGAAGAAATCAGAGTTTGTTGGATGGAATATTATTGTATGTGTGTTTTCGTGAAATCAGGACAGCCTTGAAAATATGATAATGCATCTCATGAGATTTGATCCTGTCAATAAAAATATTCAAACACTCCTCTAAAGTCTTAATGTTTGTCATTTTTGTTAATGTTTGTTATGAAGTAAATAACATCACTTTGACTTATCCCATTCTGTTGCCTACCTTCAAACCACCAAAGTCCCCTTCTTGTGCTTAAAAATCCAAGCTCAGTTTAATGAGTTGTTTTTATATCTCTCTCTCTCTCTCTCTCTCTCTATATATATATATATAAATATATATATATATATATATATATATATATATTAATCCTACAAATACATGATTCTCAGCACTTTGAAAAAAAAATCACTTTCCTCAGCAAATCAAGAAAGCTAGAAAATATCCCTAAAATTAAACAAAACCGACTAGCTAAACATTTTTTCGAACATTGAAACAAACAGAGAAAAAATGTAACCCATCACAAAAAATATCACCCCAAAAATATATATAATGAAATAAAAAAATCTACATCCTGTACAAACACTATGGCCCAATAATTTAAGAAAATAGTGTCTCTAAATCGTTCATATTGCTTTGTACGTCCACTGTTGCCCGTGTGAGGGTGAAGTCCCACTGTCTAACACTAAGCATTCCCAATAGTGGCCACAGACGGGCGCTATCCAAAGTTCTTGGTGCTGACTTCACTCCAGAGGTCATGGGGTCGACCTACAGCCAATGGCATGCAGGTGTGGTAGAAGAGAAACAGTTATGTTTGTATTCTTGTTTCATCTCTGGCTATGCTGTGTTCTTTTCGCGTTCTCTTGGTTTTGGCAGTACAACAATACAAAGACAAGGGATGGTCACACTACGACAGTACTGCACTGATCCTCAATAAAACCAAGGATGATTTGACCGTTTTGTTGTAGTTTTACCATATTTACTCTCTACGGCATTATTACTACTACGACTATCACCATCACGGATACACCAAGTGTATCGTGTGTTTACATGTGTGTGTCTGTGTACCTATGTGCTTTTTCGTTCGTCTGTGTGTGTGTGTGTGTGAGTTAGTGTGTGTGTGTGTGTGTGTGTGTGTGTGTGTGTGTGTGTACATCAGTGTGTGTGAGTGTTCAGTGCTCAGAGCTTGTCTTCTCGAAGGAGAAGCTGGGCAGAGTCAACAGCTTGGGGTTGGGCCCCCCTCCCTCCTGGCCCAGCCCCTCCCCTGCCCCGAGGTCAAAGGAGTCCTTGGAGTCACTGGAGGGAGCCCGTCTCCTCAGACAGGAGGTACCCCGGCTGGTTAAGGGAGGGGGCATCCCTAGCCCCCCCAAACCCCCCAGGGCAGGGTGGAGGCTGGGCTGGGACTCCAGTCCATCAGGGGGGTCTACGGAGATACACGGGGGGCTCATTTTCTTCTTGCGTCGGGGAGAGGGCAGGGTCTGTGTTGTGGTCTGGGACTGGATCTGGAGGCTGTCTGCTCGGGAGACAAACCCAGAGGACGTGGACGTGGTGCTGTGCTGGGGGCTGGACTCTACGGACGAACACACCTCCACTGAGTGGCGCCGAGGATCGTCCAACCAGGACAGGGGGCGTGGCCGGGGTGCTAAAATGCTCCGCCCCTGGGTGTCAGCGCTGTGGAACCTCTTCAGCTGCCTCAGGCATGGCCCGCTCTCCTCACCACAACCAACCTCATAACCTTGGTAACTGCCATCGAGACCTCCGACCTCTGACCCCAGTCCGACCCCGATGACATCCTCACTCCCCGCCAGCCCCGCCCGGTTGATGAGCGACACTTCCTGGTCGGCCGAGGCCTCTTCCTGTCTCCAGGGGCGAGCGGGGGGGAAGGGAGGAGGGGAAGAGGAGAAGGAGGAGGGGGAGTTGGGTGAGGAGGAGAGGTGGTGCTGGTCGTGGTTTGAGAAGGGGTGTTGGGTGTGAACACTACTGGGGCGCGACCGTTGAGGGGATGCCCCTGGGGTGGCAGGGACCAGCCGGAGAGAAGGCTGCTGGTGAAGATGGGAGGAGGAGGAGGAGGAGGAGGAGGAGGAGGAAAGGGGGAGGGCTAGGGAAGCTACATTTAGGACCCTGTCCTCACCCTCCCCTCCGTCAGAACACAGGGCCTCCTGGGAATCATTAGATACTGCCACCTAGTGGAGGAAGGAGGGAGAAAGGGGGAGGAGGGAGGAGAGGGATTAGGAGGGATGATGCAGTGAGGTTGAAAGAAATGGAGAAAGGTGTAAGAGGAGCGGGAGAGAAGAACAGGGAGAGTGGTGAGGCATGGAGGGAGAGATTGAGACACAGGGGATGGGTGGTTAGGGGGACATGGGGGGGTGAGAGGGGGGAGACTGGTTAGTGTGAGGTGACTGGGTGAGGATGCCCAATAGGAGTGAAGGTCAGAGTCCACCATTAGTCCAGCATGCTCCCAATACCATCTCTGTCTCATTGTGATACAGAGGAAATGTTGAAATTGCAATAGAGTGCAACTAGTAAGTATATTGCTGTATGTTTATTGCACAAGGGAACAATTCCAGATTCAGATATGTGTCAAGAGTATCTGTTTCATAAAGAGATTCAGTGACAGCATGTGATTTACAGTAGCAGCAGTAGTTAGAGCACAGTTTGTCTCAGCTAGGGCACTGGGTACAACCATGGTTTCCCAATGTCTAAGTGAGAGCCCAATGTGTATTCCCTGTTTAACAGAAGGAGTATTGGGAGATATGCCTAGTCTGGTGCACTGCATTCTGAGCCTCTCCCAATGCCCAATATCCTCAATACCCTCTGTCCTTGTAGCCCAATCAGCTAACTCCCCAATGACTAAAATGTATTGGAATTTTAGAGGGTGGTACTGTAGGGCAGTCCTTCAGCTTTTTCTCCTCAGAGAGGTCAGAGGGCAAAGGGCAGAGAGTACTGGGTCTGTGTGTAGCTTCAGGAGAGGAACGGTTAGTAGAACAAAATGACACACTACAAAAGTTACAAAAGTCTCATATAGCATCCTTTCCATATCTTCTGCAATTTGAGATGACATATCTGAAATATCTAGGTTGTTATGTGACAAAATATGGACAGAAATGAAAAGGTAGCTATTTGAGCGTTTTGGGACTGTCCACAGAATATTTATGACTGGTAGAATTGTGAGTCTTGACAGAAAGCACGGATGATGTGACAACATCGACATCTAGTGGACTAAGATATTATAGCCAAGCCACATTGCCAATAACACAGCTACAGTAGCACTAACAAGTCCTCTTAGATTTTTTATCAATACCTATTTGTGATTGTAGAACAATTCCTGTCATACGGGGTAACACATATATATTTTAAATATTATAATTTATTCTCAATAGTAACTATTTCATCAATATAATCATCTTCATACAATCACAATATTGCCCAAAAAGGACAACAAGTGCTCTAAAACAGTCATATAAAATATGTGGCCAAATATTATGGACAGAACTGACAGTCCTGATTTGAACCCTGAGTTATAACAATGTAACATGTAGTTACAATAGTGTGATATGTAGGCCAAAGCCTACAATTCATAGGCAAACTGACTACATTTTAGACTAAAATACATTCCATTAATCAACAGATGCGTGATAAAGATATCAGTAGGTAGTTCACATGACCTTATAGGGGTTCATAAACAATATAGTCCCCTATTTCTAAAGGAATTAACAGTCTAGCCATTCCAAAACTATGATCAACGCTACCTACGACAGTTGGCCAAGTGAGATGCATTGTGGCAGATGGTCAGCAGAAGATAGACAAACAAGGGAGCAAGAAGGGGAGGAGGAGAGGTCAGAGGAAAGGGGAGTGTGTGTGCGCGTGTGTGTGTGTGTGTGTGTGTGTGTGTGTGTGTGTGTGTGTGTTGGAGGCAGGGTGGATAGGATATAGGGATGTTCAGTATTTCTGAAATCAGTGGTAGCGGGTCAGGAGTTGCTATTTAACTGTTTCAGAAACAGGAGTATCTGTGTTTGATCAGTAGCTCTGGTTCTGGTGGTTGCTGAACTAGACTCTGTTAGTAACAGATACAGGAGAAGGAGGCAAGCGGATGGACAGAGAGACGGACAGAAGAGGGAGGAGGAATGGAGAAGTTAGAAACACATAAAACAGACAGGAAGAAGGGAGGTAGAGGGAGGAGAGAAGACAGCATTAAGAGCAGAGCTGAGAGGAAGGAAAGGAAAGTTTAGGAAAAACATCATATCAGCAGAAACATGAGGAGAAAAACACAATGATGAACAGTCATTTCTGATAGAAAACATTTGTTACCTCCGGTGTGTGTGTGTGGGGTGTGTGTGTTTGCCTGCCTGCATGTGTGTGTCTCACCTGTCTGCGGAGCGTGCGGCTGAGTGTGTGTGCGCGCCGTGGAGGGGGTAGTCGGGGTGTATTCTCTGAGTCTGAGAGGCTGTGAGGACTGATGGGTCTGAAGAAGTCTGTAGGAACAGCCAACTGCTGGGAGCTCTTCTCTGGTTGGGACCGCACCGAGGTACTGGAGCCTGTGGAAACACACACAACACAAATATAACTTGTTTTTCTCACACAAAACCACAAGGGATTATCAAAACAGTAGGTGTGGGTAAGGTTGGTTCCTGGTCCTACTGTTCTAGAAATTACTTGGTTTTCCTGACAGCATTCACTTTGATCAAGGGGAAACTATGTGTGTGTGTGTATGTGTGTGTGTTTCTGTGTGTGTGTGTGTGTGTGTGTGTGTGTTTGTGTGACTGTGTGTTTGTGTTTGTCTGTGTGTGTGTGTGTGTCTGTGTGGTTGTGTGTGTGAACAATGTCGGCGTGTAGAGGGAGTGTATGTACTGTACCTGACAGGGCCCTGTTGAGGGCCTCTATGTGCTGTGGCCCTGTAGCCTGTGTCAGTACTGGAGCTAAGCCAGGAGCCAAGCTGGCTCCTGGGGGTCCGAAGGGCTCCAGAGGCAGGAACATGTAGCTGTCGTTGGGTAGAGAGTGGGTGCGGCCCACCATTGACTTCCGTACACTCAGCAGGTTGTCCTCCAACGGCTCCTCAGAATCAAGTAACTCCGTCTGGGGGACAGAGAAACAGTCAGCCTCTTTCTGGAGCTTCTTGGAGGTCTGACCACGGGTCTTTTGCAGAGACTTCACACACTCACTCACACACACTCATACTCTCTAACACACTCTCCACACTCTCCACACATACACACATGAAATAAGTAATTGTTGGCACACTGAGCGACAGACCAGACAGACGGCATCATTGCACTAGTGGCAGAGAGGAGACTGGCACAGACCTGGCTCTGGGCTCAGAGTTACTGAAACTAACTGCAACCATATTGTCTATGTCTTTATTGTAGCAAAACAAATGAATGAAGCACTTGTACGCTTGAGCTTTTTGCTGAGATCGCTTATCATTTATGCCACAGCTTTAGAGCAAGAACATTATTCTATCTATGGGTTCTGAGAGCCAGAAAATACAAGCTAGGCCAGTGCCCTGCTATGTCCTTGGCTAGCAGACAACATAGCTAACCCACAGCTACTAACTACAGAGATCGGAGTGGTACTACATTCACTTGTCACATTGTTTATAACACAGAGGACAGCACAAAAGAGAGAGCGAGAGAGAGACAGAGAGCGAGAGAGAGAGAGAGAGAGAGAGAGAGAGAGAGAGGACAACGCAAACAGGAAAAAAAGATAAATAACAGAGATAAATAAATAAATAAATAGAGGAAGACAGAGAGAGACAGAGAAGGATAAAAGAGAGAAAGAACAAGTGAAAAAGAGATACGGACAGGTGAGCAGGCGCACTAGTCTACTGGACTGGACTGGAACGGACAGACACCAGGCTAGAAAGGTGGAATGAAAAAGAGAGAGAAAGAGAGAGAGCGAGGGAGAAGAGCGGATGGTTAAAAAATCCCCAGGGTCTTCCAAACTCATGAGTGTGTCCTGCTCACATCTCTCTGTATGTAACCTCCAGTTCTATGATTCATTTGAAATCATTAATGTATTTGTGTGATGCGTGTGCTGGGTTTGGAAAATCCCCCTGAGACAGCTATTACATTCATCACACACTTCGATACAACCTGATTGATTAATTCAACACCCTTTTGGTGAGTGACAAGGTAGTACGTCGCCACCACCCTCTGAGTCTGACATGCAATGGAGAGAGAACGACTCTCGAGCCAACGAGGGTAAATTGGTCGTCAATTATCCCAGATTGAGAGTTGTCGGGGAAACAATTAGCTACGTTGTGTGGAAGAAACTCAGAGAGCTGAGAGCAGCGATGTCCTCTCTGAGCCACCGTAAAGGACACTGTGAGGAGACTAATTAGAACCTAAGTAGTGTAGAGGGAGTAGCTTAACCTCGTGTACCTCTCTACCCTATCTCTGCCACTCAATTAGTGTTCAAGTTTACAAGTTGCTTGATTATCAAATTACAATAGTGTCATTACATGCATAATTCATTGGTTTCTTTAGACATCTCTATATAGTGTTTATATAGTGTTGCCTAATTGACATCCAGAAGGTAACCTCCAACCTATAGCCAGTACCCCAGAGAGAGTGAGCCTGGAGGGGGCAGCTGAGTTTGGAAGCTCCCTTGGGTAAGGCTAAGATACAAGAGACTGCAGAGGAAGAGGAGGTGATGGGATTAAGAGAGAGAGAGGAACTGTCAGTACGTTGGACTCCAGACTGGTTAGTAAGAGGGGGTTAATATCATCAGGGGCGGAGTCGTCGGTGAGTGCTAGGGACCAGGATTTGTCGGAGGCCAGAGAGAGAGCTTCCATCTCCGCTAGAGGGATCTAGATAGAGAACAGACAAGGCCCGGTGAGCAGAGAAAACACACACGCACACACACACAATCCGACTAATCACACAGACAGACAGTGACATGACACACATCCTACAATCTGATGACACGCATAGCACAGACGTGACAAGACATCAGACAGCATGTGCTGTAACAACACACAAGCACATACTGTAGATATAGCAAACAACCCTACACAACACCTAATACCTAAGATTGAAAACACACTCAACAACAGAAATATCAACAGATACATGGATAAATCACACACAAACCAACACACACACAGATATATAAACCTAATTTCAGACCAACAGATATGACTAACAGTTCAAGCAAATATACAGACCAACAGTTAATTAAATGACATCCATCCATCCAGATGACAAATACACAGCAATATAACATCACACAGACAAACCACAAAATGGTCTATTAAATATGATATTGAAAGGTTAAACTTTTTATGAAGAGTAATTGACACAGGGTGAGCTGGGAACATAAGCATACTTCATGTAATGCAACCTTAGTTTAGCTAGCATCATTTTACAACACTGAGCACCATCTTTGAAGCGTTCAAACTCTCAGAGCTTGCTCTGCTAAAGACTTACTGTTTCTAGCTTCCCTCCCTCACTCACCCCTAACCGGGAGAATTAATTGAGGAAATGCTTTCTGACAGGCAAAACGACTGGGCCAGCCATGCAGACACGGGCAGGGGTCCTAACTGGCAGAGACTGAGTGGGCGGCTGGAAGAGATTTCTGCTAACTTTTCAGAATCAGACAGAGAGGGAGAAGCAGGGAGGCTATTGCTGCTGCGGCATTACGTTAGCCTCAATTCTTTTTAAAAGCTTTTAGCAGACACTGTTTAGCAATGCTAATGTGATTGGCTGAATCATTTTGTCCTGAATGGGGAAAAAGAGGCATTCAGATGCATAATTCAACAGTGATACATCGCCAGCCAGCTTGGCAGCGGAGTCCAATTATTATCATTAATTTGTGCTCAATCCCTGGATGGTTCGTTTTCAAAGCTCAAAGCCAAGTGTGTGTGTGTGTGTGTGTTAGTGTGTGTGCGGTAGGTATACTACCATATCATTACCCTATACAGCCATGCTGAGAGAGTGATATTGGAGGGTGACCACATTTCTAATAATATTATTGGCCAAGGAACACACAGGGGATTAGGGGAACACACACAGTTAGAGGTGAGAGAGTTGAGTGTAGTAAAAGAAACAGGAGGGAAAAAAGGTTGAGTTAGAGTAGAGAGGAGGGTGTGTGCCATAGATTGAGGCTGAGAGAAGACTGCAGCATGGGTGTGTGACTGAGTGATTGGGTGAGGCGAGTTCATTGACCTTCTTGTCACTGCAGTGCTTGCTGGGTAGTGGGGGCAGGGCGTAGTAGTGACATATTGACCCTGACAGGTTGTCCATCAGACTCAACTCTCCCTCCATCGAACCCTGGATCACCAAGGAGACCGAGTCAAACATCGCTCTCTGCTACAGACAGACATAGAGAGACAGAGACAGAGAGCGAGAGAGAGACAGAGACAGAGACAGAGAAAAAGAGACAGACAGACAGACAGACAGACAGGCAGGACAGACAGACAGACAGACAGACAGACAGACAGACAGACAGACAGACAGACAGGAGGATACAGAAAGAGCGTAGAAGAGACATAAATGTAGACAGAAATAGAGAGACAGACAGAAAGACGAACAGGGAAAAAGGGAGCAGGAGGGAGGAGGAGGGGAGTGAGGGAAGACGACAGGTTCAGGTGTGGTAGAACACATACAGAGAATAAAACGCAGGTGGTGTGTGCACATGCTTCAGGACACGCATCAGGTTTTTAACCTACGTCTGGTCTATACAGAGTCTATACTCCCGCTCATAGTCATGTTCCTAAATACTGAAAGTTCCTTCATCAAACCAGAAGGGGGCAGTCAAACACTACTAAAACTCCACTCTCAACCCCAGAGAGAGAGGAAACATTGGAGCTTAACCACACGTTTCTGCCAGCAAGGGATGACAGAGAGGAGAGAGAGATAACATCAGAGGAATGATACAACCCAACCTCTAGTCACTATAAAAAGGCCTGTTGGCTGGAAATAGCAGTCTAGTAAACAACATACGGCTGTGTCCTGTCTTTCCCATGGCATTACAGTGACCTATGATGGCTGGCACTAGTCTACTGGGACTGATACACATACACAACTTTATTACGGGAAAAAGGTTCAGTACACATCACTTCATTTTGTATCAGAAAGTAGACTGGTCCTCTTTGAAGTCTCGTAGATCGATGCATTGCGCTCTTTTTGTCTATAAAGCCCTCTTGAATAAACGTCCACCATACCTATCTCATTGTTGTGTGTATGTACTGACATGTATGTGTAACTGATAGATGCACACACACATACACTACATGTTAATGTTTTTAAATGTATGTACATTGTAAAGTTTTTTGTATGTAATGTCTTTTTCGTTATGTGTCGGACCCCAGTAATTGGCGTCAGCAAATGGGGATCCTAATAAATCTGAAATCTAAAAATTGTTAACCTTAAGATGTATTAGTTACCAGACCTGGACTCAAAGGATGACTAACCCTGGAGATCCCTTCAATCTCCAACGAGTTAAGTAAATCTGCTTTCATTTATTTTGTGCAAATTGGACGCAAGAAGCCCAAACAGATATATTTGATTAAAACATAATAATTTCAAACCTTGCTTACATTTGTATATGATCACGTCTCTTTCTATTATGCATGAAAATACTTGGGAACAGATTTCCAAAATTAAAATCACTAGGAGCTGATTCCCTGGTGTTTTTACAGTCTTTTATGTCCATACACAAATTATATATATATTTATATTACCAGTCAAAAGTTTGGACACACCTACTCATTCCAGAGTTTTTCTTTATTTTTACTATTTTCTACGTTGTAGAAGAATAGTGAAGACATCAAAACTATGAAATAACACATATGGAATCATGTACTAACCAAAAAAGTGTTAAACAACTCAAAATATATTTTATATTTGAGATTCTTCAAATAGCCACCCTTTGCCTTGATGACAGCTTTGCACACTCTTGGCATTCTCTCAACCAGCTTCACCTGGAATGCTTTTCCAACAGTCTTGAAGGAGTTCCCACATATGCTGAGCACTTGTTGGCTGCTTTTCCTTCACTCTGCGGTCCGACTCATCCCAAACCATCTCAATTGGGTTGAGGTCGGGGGATTGTGGAGGCCAGGTCATCTGATGCAGCACTCCATCACTCTACTTCTTGGTAAAATAGCCCTTGAACCGCCTGGAGGTGTGTTGGGTCATTGCCCCTGACTTTTGACAGGTACTATATATATATATATTTATTTATTTTTTGCTCAGAAAACTTTTTTCTGAAGAATGTGTTTGTTTCATTTGATTGCTTGTGTTTTGCTTTTCGTGTTTTGTGTTTGCTTTTCATGTATTGTGTAATCGTTGTGTATATAGATATGTATATTACAATTGTTGTTGTTTATTGATGTGTTCATGCGGGGCTCATCTGCGAAAGAGACCGTGGTCTCAGCATGACTCCCTGTTTAAATAAAGGTTAAATAAGGTTAAAAACACACACTCATTTACAGTACAAGCAGACAAACACACATACAGTTGAAGTCGGAAGTTTACATACACTTAGGTTGGAGTCATTAAAACTTGTTTTTCAACCACTCCACAAATTTCTTGTTAACAAACTATAGTTTTGGCAAGTCGGTTAGGACATCTACTTTGTCCATGACACAAGTAATTTTTCCAACAATTGTTTACAGACAGATTATTTAACTTATAATTCACTGTATCACAATTCCAATGGGTCAGAAGTTTACATACACTAAGTTGACTGTGCCTTTAAACAGCTTGGAAAATTCCAGAAAATTATGTCATGGCTTTAGAAGCTTCTGATAGGCTAATTGACATCATTTGAGTCATTTGGAGGTGTACCTGTGGATGTATTTCAAGGCCTACCTTCAAACTCAGTGCCTATTTGCTTCACATCATGGGAAAATCAAAATAAATCAGCCAAGACCTCAGAAAAAAGATTGTAGACCTCCACAAGTCTGGTTCATCCTTGGGTGCAATTTCCAAACGCCTGAAGGTACCACGTTCATCTGTACAAACAATAGTATGCAAGTATAAACACCATTGTACCACGCAGCCGTCATACCGCTCAGGATGGAGACCCGTTCTGTCTCCTAGAGATGAACGTACTTTGGTGCGAAAAGTGCAAATCAATCCCAGAACAACAGCAAAGGACCTTGTGAAGATGCTGGAGGAAACAGATACAAAAGTATCTATATCCACAGTAAAACGAGTCCTATATCAACATAACCTGAAAGGCCGCTCAGCAAGGAAGAAGTCACTGCTCCAAAACCGCCATAAAAAATCCAGACTATGGTTTGCAACTGCACATGGGGACAAAGATCGTACTTTTTGGAGAAATATCCTCTGGTCTGATGAAACAAAAATAGAACTGTTTCGCCATAATGACCATCGTTATGTTTGGAGGAAAAAGGTGGCTCTTGCAAGCCGAAGAACACCATCCCAACCGTGAAGCACGGGGGGGACAGCATCATGCTGTGGGGGTGCTTTGCTGCAGGAGGGACTGGTGCACTTCACAAAATAGATGGCATCATGAGGAAGGAAAGTTATGTGGATATATTGAAGCAACATCTCAAGACATCAGTCAGGAAGTGAAAGCTTGGTCGCAAATGGGTCTTCCAAATGGACAATGACCCCAAGCATACTTCCAAAATTGTAGCAAAATGGCTTAAGGACAACAAAGTCAAGGTATTGGAGTGGCCATCGCAAAGCCCTGACCTCAATCCTATGGGAAATTTGTGGGCAGAACTGAAAAAGCGTGTGCGAGCAAGGAGGCCTACAAACCTGACTCAGTTACACCAGCTCTGTCAGGAGGAATGGGCCAAAATTCACCCAACTTATTGTGGGAAGTTTGTGGAAGGCTACCCGAAACGTTTGACCCAAGTTAAACAATTTAAAGGCAATGCTACCAAATACTAATTGAGTGTATGTACACTTCTGACCCACTGGGAATGTGATGAAATAAATAAACATCTGAAATAAATCATTCTCTTTACTATTATTCTGACATTTCACATTCTTAAAATAAAGTGGTGATCCTAACTGACCTAAGACAGGGAATTTTTACTAGGATTAAATGTCAGGAATTGTGAAAAACTGAGTTTAAATGTATTTGGCTAAGGTGTATGTAAACTTCCGACTTCAACTGTACACAAGTGAGGGAAACTCATTCAGAAGTTCTATAGTTATGGAGAAAAGCATCTGTCTGCAGATTCTACTGTAGCTCCTCATTGCTAATTCCTATTTGCCCCTGAACCAGGGATAGGATTAATTCCAAACCCCACCAACACACACACACACACACACACACCCAGGTGTCAACCACACTCACCTCTAGTGGTGGCTCCCGGCCTAGCGGGGGATCAGTGCTGATGTGTATGGAGTCTCTTCTAGTGATATCTGCTGGGGGAGAATCCATCACGCTGCCCCTCCTCTGGATCTCCCACTCTGGAGACCTCCAGGGGGAACCCCCAGGTCCCTCCTCCAAGCCCAGGGACAGAGGGCTTAGCTGGGGTGATCTCCCACTGCCTCCCCCTCCCCTTCCTCCATGCTGGAGCTCCAGCTCTAATTCAGCCTCCAGCTCTGCCTCCTCCTTGGCCTCTTTGTTGCTCTCCTCCAGGTGCTTCATGAGGACGGCTATGACCACGTTGACCAGGACAAACTGGGCAGTCAGCACAAAGGAGACAAAGTAGATAGGAGAGACCACCGTGTTGTAACAGGTGCCTGCATTCTCCTGTTGACAGTCTCGCAGGGTGTCCTGGAGGGGAGATACATATGTGGATGAACACATGAAGAAAGAGACACAACACAGACACTGTATACTGTAAATCCAGAATGGTGACAAGCAATAGTTGATCCAAAATGGTGGCCCAGTCTCACCTTCATAATGCCGTTCCAGTTGTCTCCTGTAGAAACTCTGAACAGCAGCAGGAAAGCCATGCCAAAGTTCTTAAAAGTAGCGTAGCGCCCCAAGCCCTCACATGGGTGCAGCTCATCACAAACTGACGGAGAAACGGAGAGAGGGAGAGGGAAAATGAGAGAGCTGGGTGTGTGTGTTCCACAGTAACAGAGAGCTTTCCAATTAAATCATAATCACGGTGAAATAATTATATTTATCTGGAAGCTAAAAGCCACAATTAGTGAAATCAATAAATTATTTCAACAAAGGAATCAAAAGAAAGCAATTAAGACCTAATGTGAATTAAGCCCCAGCAGAGAATATTTTATACCCAGAGCAGCTGTGTGTGTGTGTGTGTGTGTGTGTGTGTGTGTGTGTGTGTGTGTGTGTGTGTGTGTGTGTGTGTGTATGTGTGTGTGTGTGTGTGTGTGTGTGTAGTGTCCTTACTGAGGTCACCAAACAGTTCCACTCCCAGTGCTGCGAAGATAAAGAAGAGCAGCATGAAGAGAAGACCCAGATTCCCCACCTGTAGAAAGACCACAGAGGGATGAGACAGAGGAGAGGAGAGGGGATGAGAGAGGGGATGAAAGAGGGATGAGGGGATGAAAGAGGATGAGGAGGGATGAAAGAGGGAGAAATGAAAAGAGGGATGAGAGAGGGGATGAAAGAGGGATGAGAGAGGGGATGAAAGAGGGATGAGAGAGAGAGGGATGAAGAGGGATGAGAGAGGGGATGAAAGAGGGATGAGAGAGGGGATGAAAGAGGGATGAGAGAGGGATGAAATAGGGATGAGAGAGGGGATGAAATAGGGTTGAGAGAGGGGATGAAAGAGGGATGAGAGAGGGGATGAAAGAGGGATGAGAGAGGAGAGGGGATGAGGGAGGAGAAAGGGAGAGCAGAGAGAGGAATGAAAAAGGAGAGGAGAGGAGAGGAGAGGAGAGGAGAGGAGAGGAGAGAGAGAGGGAGAGGAGAGGAGAGGAGGGAGAGGAGAGGAGAGGAGAGGAGAGGAGAGGAGAGGAGAGGAGAGGAGAGAGAGGAGAGGAGAGGAGAGGAGAGGAGAGGAGAGGAGAGGAGAGGAGCACATGTTAAACTTCATATAAAACATATTTTCCCATCTCAAGGGGTTAAATAAAAAAAAATACTATAGTAAGTGCCTATTAAGTGCCAAATATAGTAACAGGGTTGACCATAACAGGGTTGAAGATTTCATCTTTAATCAGCCATAAATCCCCTTGTGACAGGGGGAATGGAAGCTTGTTGTGTGCAACAGGGAGTGGCAATTCAATGCAAGCTTCACAAAAAAATCCTGTCTCTCTGTGAGTAACGAGGTTGACGTGTTATGCTCGACCCGCTCAGTTTTCCACCACAAAACATCAGCAAATGGCGAAAAAGAGTAGAACCAGCTCACCTACTTTTACACTATGATATGACTATTAGATGTTAAATGTTTCTTAAATTTTTTTTTTTTACAAGTAATAGTTTCAATATATTACAACGAGAGTTCAGTTCACATAACAGGGTTGACCTTAAAAAATCACTAATAAATAATCATCTTAAAATCTTCCTAGAAGTCACAGAGGGTGCACGGAGGGACGTGAAAATGCTGAATTTCAGATTGATTGAATTATCCATGTGGTCTATATTAAAGGGCACTTTATTGAATATAACAGGCCTTTAAAATGCATTACTGGTGCACAATTTCTACTTAAAATGTCAAAGGGATGCAAAATACACTCATTTCGTGGAACGACCCAGAGTGAATTGAGATAAGGCAATAGCGAGGTAGAGGGTTTATACCCAGGTCGGGTACAGTAAGCATAGAGCTTTAAAATGTACTCCAAAGCTAATCTCAGCTGACCCAAAAAATGTCTAAGTTATTATCATTATTAATTATGTAGATATGACAAGCTCTGAAGGATTTAACACTGTAGCCTGCAGCTCAAAATGTACCCTCTCTCTGCTCTATCTCTCTCTCTCTCTCTCTCTCCTCTCTCTCTCTCTCTCTCTCTCTCTCTCTCTCCTCTCTCTCTCTCTCTCTCCAATCTGAGCTTTAGAGAGAATTGGCAGCGACAGCATCTAGCAGCCTCACATCCTCTCTCTTCATCTCTATTTCGCTGTCTCTTATCTATCTCTCTCCTCTTTCAAAACTCTTCCCCCCTTCTACCTATTGTATCAGTTCTTCCCTTTCTCCATCGCTATTTCTGCATCAGAAACACCCAGCCAATCGGTACAGCTGTTCCTCCATAGGGTATGGGTTATGCAGATGAGGCCCCAGAGTGAAAACAGAGACTCATGGGAAATGGAGTAGGGGAGGATATAGAGAACTCATGGGGATAGACTAGTGTAGATTTAGGAATTTCCTTAAATGGGTTAGTAAGGAAGAAGGATTCCTGTCTGAAGGGCATTCCCAAGGAGTACCCTGGAATAAACATGGAGAGAGATTAATATTATAGTAGAAGGTGAGGAAGATTAGTAATGGAATCGGATGGGCGTAAGTCAAATGGCTGATGCAACCATAAAGCCAATGGAAAGGCTAAATGTGATAAGGCTAAATGTCTTAGACCGGAAGAACATGCATAGTGATCTGGTGGTAGTACTTCTACTGTACTTTACCTGAGGCAGAGCCTGCATGACAGTGTCCAGCAACGCTCTCATCCCCACTGCCATCTTCAGTAGCTTCAGCACTGAGGACACACAGAGAGAGAAAATAATGATATTTGGGAATAACTGTAGTAAAACATATTCTGTGAGATACTAATCGAGGTTGCACTCTGTGATGATGTCTGGGGTCGCAGTCTGATGATGTCACTGACAGGGCAGTGGCGGAGGAGGCAGGGTTAATTGCCGTTGGTAACAGTGAAGGACGGCTACAACTTTAATTAAACATACACACACACACACACACACACACACACACACACCCTTAGGGTCCTGTGTGATAATAATCAATGAGGACTCCCACCGCTAGTTCTTTCATTACACACACAGTCATCAGACTGAACAGATGAGCTTCTCTACCTCTCTCATCCCTCTCTCATCATTATGTCCTTTCTTCTACCTCTCCTCATCCTCTACCTCTTCCTATCATCCTCCGCTCTTTCACATTTTGCCCTCTTCTTTCTTTACACAGACAGTAATCAGCCCAAAGCAGATGAGCGGCCATGTTTTCCTTCTGCCTCTCTCAGTACGTTCTCTTTACTCTTCTAACTCTGTCTCTTTCCTCCACTCTCTCTAATCTTGCCCTCCTTTCTTTACACAGACAGTAATCAGTTTACCCTCTCTCCTATCTTTCCTCTCTTTATTGAGCAGTAATCAGAGAGAAGCAGATGAGCAGTGCTGTCTCTTGCAGCGTCTATGTTCTTCTGCTCTTCCCTCTTTTCTTTCCATACATTTCTGTTCCCTCTATTCTCCCTCTCCCAGTCTGTCTCCCGGTCTGTCTCCCGGTCTGTCTCCCGGTCTGTCTCCCGGTGTGACTCCCAGTCTGTCTCCCAGTCTGTCTCACAGTCTGTCTCCCAGTCTGTCTCCCGGAGCTCCTCTCTCTCTCCGTCTCAGTCCTGTGTTTGTGAGGTGACTTTGTTCCCAGTGCCATCTGGTCTCGTTGCACCTCACCAGGGAAGCTCTATGACCCGCCACGCAAAAATGACAAAGAAGGGAGTCCCTGGAATACCTACCGCTGCTTTACAACCCATATTAAAACAGCAGGACAGTACAGGAGGCAAATTTAGTGTGTGTATGTGCGTGTGCGTGTGTGAGTGTGTGTGCGTGTATGAGTGTGTGTGTGAGTGTGTGTGTGGAGAAAGAGAGAGAGAGATAGAGAGATACAAAATAAAGAGAGAAGAGATAGAAAGAAAGTGTGTATGTATGTGTATCACAGGAGGTTGGTGGCACCTTAATTGGGGAGGACGGGCTCGTGGTAATGTCTGGAGCAGAATAAGTGGAATGATTTCAAATACATCAAACACATGGTTTCCATGTGTTTGATACCATTCCATTAGCTCCGTTCCAACCATTATTATGAACCGTCCTCCCCTCAGCGGCCTCCTGTGATGTGTATGTTTGTGTGTATATGTGTGTGTGTGCATGTGTGTGTACCTCGTGCTATCCTTAGCACTCTCATGATTCTGATGATAGTAGGGTTGATGGGCAGGGATGCGTTAACCTCAATCTCCTCCAGAGTGATACCCATGATAGACAACAACACTATGGCCAGGTCCAGCTGGTTCCACCTATACACACACACATCAAGGGCATGTTATACACACACCAATAACACATGTGTGCATAATAAGGGTCCCTTTACTCAAAGGTGAGCCAACAAGATAAGGATGGAAATCTGGAGAAAACCTCAGGCCTTGGGAGGTCTTAAGTTAGTGTGTTAGTGTGTGAGACAAGCCAAGGATCTGTCAGAGGCCCTGGGCCATCTAAGGTGTTTCATTAGAGCAAAGTTATACAGTAACATGGTGAGAGAAATCACTGATACACTTTCCCACCAAGATTATTTTAGATATGGCAGAACAAACCCCATAAGATCATTATTAACTTGCTGTTCCAAGTCGAGCAGAACTGTTCTGTCTTGGAAAGAGGGTGATGAGAACACAATGTGTCTAAGCAGAGTAAACGTTTTTCCACTTCTGCTCCATCAGAAATGTATGTGTGTGTGTGTGTGTGTGTGTGTGTGTGTGTGTGTATGTGTGTGTGGGTGTGTTTGTGTGTTGTGGTCTAACTCCTAACCCCCCTGCCATCGTTGAGCATGTCTGCCAATTCATCATATTTTCAATATTTCTTCATCTGCCAGGGTCCAGTGTGTGTGTATGTGTGTTCTCTGAGGGCAGGGTCCGACGCCACTCGATACGTCAGTGTCTAACCACTCAGAATGCATGAATCAACACTACAGCAAATCACTTTAAACACAATTACATTTTCAGATGGACCCCCGGGGGACCTGGCTGCCTCTGTGTGTGTGTGTGTGTGTGTGTGTGTGTGTGTGTGTGTGTGTGTGTGTGTGTGTGTGTGTGTGTGTGTGTGTGTGTGTGTGTGTGTGTGTGTGTGTGTGTGTGTGTGTGTGTGATGTGACACTCTGGATCTCTGCCGGGGGTTAATGGTCTAATCTGGCAACCACAGATGATATCATAGGCCTCGCGGTTACAAGGTCCACTGCAAACTCACACCGTCTGCACTGATTGTATAGTGAGTGCGTGTGTGTGTGTACGTAGTCCTGTGTGTGTTTGCGTGTGTGTACATGGCTGCATGTGTGTGTGCATCTGTGTGTGTGTGCACGTGTGTACATGCTCTTGTGTGTGATTGCGTGTGTATGTGTGTGTGTGTGTGTTTGTGTTGTTCAGTTGGAAGCCAAGGATTTTAAAGCTATGATATAATCCGAGGCAGTGTGCTTTACTAGTGTTTAACGAGGCAGCTTGTATTCAGAAAGGCCTAACTGAGAGTGAGCTATCCACCACTGCACCTTTCCACAGCACACTAACTCACACCCATCATCTCTGCGTCACCTGAACATGCTTCTGAGGGAATCTGGGACCATATCTGGGCCCATATTCACAAAGCATTTCCCCCTTTCCATATACGAGAGCTTTGCTCTAAAAAGCAAAACTGATCCTAGATCAGCACGCCTACTCTGAGACAAAGTGTGACCTCTGACCTGTCCTTGAAGAAACGTCGGAAGCCAAAGGCCACCAGCTTGAAGACAGACTCCAGGACGAAGACGATGGTGAAGATGTAGTTACAGATCTTCAGCGCCTCGTCCAACTCCTGGAGAGAGGGAGGGAGGGGGGGGAGGGAGGGAGGGTTATCAGTACAGTATTCCATAGGTTGTAGCTACTGTATACATGGTCTCTCTCTGACGTCTTACTCTCCCAAAGTAAACATTTTCCCAGAGTCAGCCATTTTCAACACCCTACCATCGCCCTCTCTCTCCCTCCTCTCCCTCTCTCTCCTTCTCTCTGAAAAGGCTGTCGGTATATAAAAGTGTCTTGTAGCCTGGGGGAATTGCACGATGCCCATCTCCATGTAAAAAGTTACCTTTTCCTAGTAGGCATGTGGTGAGAAGATCAGACAACTAACTCTATAGGGATTTACTGACTCTGCTCTCTTTACTGACTCTGCTCTACTCTGGGCCACACTTACAGCATCCTAATCTATCTCTGATCTCTCTCTTTCTCGCTATTCTCTCTCTCTACTTCCTCTTATCTCTCTATCTCTTTCTCTCTCTCTTCTCTCCTCCTATCTCTCTCTCTCTCTCTCTCTCTCTCTTTCTCTCTATATCTATTTCTCATGCATAAGCTGTCTGGACACATGGTAATTTCATCGAAAAACTCAAGCTGTTTTCATCACGAATCACAATGCGGCTGATAATAAACAATGACAATTCATCGAGACATATTTTGCGTGGGAGTTTAGTTCATGAATTGTTTGTATTACTTTATGTAATGTGGAGAAAATCCCCTGAAGAATTGAAATAACTTTTCTCATTTCCTTTTGTGCAGGCAAACTAACTACAAATCTCAGAGTAATGATGTTGGACTATGTGGGAACGAATACAAACTAGGCTGTCATGGGAATCTTCGTCTGTGCTTTCTGAGGGGCCATGGTGATAACTAACCGACTACAAATCCACTACCTTAAAACTACAAACCCCATCATTGCTCAGATCCTACCTTTGGCTGCTGGTAGTGTTCCATCGCCATGGTGATGACATTGAGTGCGATGACGATGGTAATGAAGAGGTCCAGATACTGGGAGGTGCACATCTTGTGGATGAGGAGACGAGTGGGGGAGTAGTCCGAGTAATAAGGCTTACTCTGAGCTTCTGTTGGAAGGGGGGAGTAAGAGAGGGGAGGACGGGGAGGTAGGTGGGGTGGGGGGGTCATAGAGTGAGATAGGGAGTAGTGTACTGGACATTGTGGGTGAAAGGTTTTGAGAGGTGGACGCCAGCCCGCAGGTCTCAAGAGAGAGAATAGTGTTAGTTATAGGAAAACATAGTACATACACACCCATACTGACATATATCACCACATAATTACAGAAGATAAAGGCAGATAAAGAGACGCAAATGAAAGATAGATGGAGTGAGAGAGAAGAGAGTAGCAAAGGTACATGGAAAGAGAGGTATACAAGGAGCGGAAAGGAGAGGAAAGAGGTACAGGAAGACACAGAGATATTGGAAAGAGAGAACGAGAGAAAACGAGGGAGAGAGAGCGAGAGAAGCACAGTGTTCCTGGGCCCAGGTCCCCTGTGGCTGCCAGTCATGACTAATCAAATCAGAGTTGCTCTCCTCTGATCAACAATTATTCAAATGTAGTCTCCTCTGAGAGAGCATGATCGGAAATAAACAGCATCGCCACCGCCCAAACTGGTGTGTGTGTGTGTGTGTGTGGGGAAGAGACTGTAGTTGTGGAGGAGGGAGGTTATTTTGGTGCATGGTGAGGCTGTAGGGAGCAGGTAGTGAATGGTTCATTTATTTTGGCTCTTTCAATGCAGCTTTTTCTCGCTTTTTCACTCTTGCTGTATCTTTTCTCTTCCTCTCCTTCTCTCTCATAAAGACCCTACTGGGCACAGACGTCAATTCAACGTCTATTCCATGTTGGTTCAATGTAATTTCATTGAAATTACATGGAAACAAACTAGGGCCGGGACGATACCAGTATCACAATATTTGTTCCATAGCAAAAATTTAAACATGAAGCATACCAAACACTTTGGTCCTTTAAAAAACATCTGTATGTAAAATATTGTGTGCTATAACTTGGAAAATAAATAAATGTAACAATGTTTGTTTCCAACATTAGGGCTGTTTACCTAAAGAAGTTAAATCCGCTTCGGGGTTTTTTTCTTTGCCAAGATGCTAACAAGTATCGCGATACTGGTATCGTCCCACCCCTAGAAACAGCGTTGATTCAACCGGTGTGTGCCAAGTGAGACATACTATACACAACAAAAAGGACAGTTGATTTTACAATACAGTATATCACTTACAGTTTCACACCTGTTTCTCTTATCTGTCCTCCCTTTACCATCCATCCATAAAGGACAGAGGAAAGAGGAGTAAGGGGGAGGACGGAGTCTCTCTATCAGTCTCTGTCCTCATCCCTCTTTCATCAGTGAAAGAGAGAGAGAGGACATATGAAGTAGAGGAGGAGTCAGAGACAGGACAGAATGGACACACACACACACACGTGCACACACACACACAGCGTGATTACCCCAGGTGCTGTTAAACTCTCCCTCTTGCCAATTAGCCCAGGTGGCTGCTGCATCAGCTGTCTAAAACTCCTGATAGGGGGGGTGTGTGTGTGTTTGTGTGAGTGTGTTCGTGTATGTGTGTTTGTGTGTGTGTGTGTGTGTGTTTGTGTGTGTGTGTTTGTGTGTATGTGTTTGTGTGTGTGTGTTTGTGTGTATGTGTGTTTGTGTGTGTGTGTGTTTGTGTGTATGTGTGTTTGTGTGTGTGTGTGTTTGTGTGTTCGTGTGTGTGTGTGTGTGTTCGTGTATACACTGTCACCTCTTCTCCTCTGTCCTCTTCATCATAAATCTACTTGAGTGTGAGGCTCTCTCTCATTCGGTGTCTACCTGGGCGATTGCTTTATCGTACATTTATTGTACAAAATGCAGACCCATTATACATTATAGCAGTGCATGTATTATAGGCAGTAAACCCACTGGCACAAATGTTGTTCCAGTGAAACTTCCTGGGAAAATGCTTAGCTGCTGCAGTTTTGCTGCAGGGCCTAACACTTTATTTTAATGGGCCTCACTAGAGGCTCGATAAATGAAACTGTTAGAACAGTGTATTGAGCATCCATTGCTGTATCTTGAGGGGACTGTCCAAATAATGTATTAGACACTTCAGTGGCTGACTGTGTTTTCTTAAAGCAATCTAAAGCAGTTTTGGAAGTGCCAAACTCTCATAGGTTTAAAACGCTACATCAAGAGAGGGAGAAGGAGAGAGAGAATGAGAGAGAGAGACCTTTCCCTGTGTAAGTACTGCACTGAGAGAGGGAGAGGTAGAATGAGAGAGAGAGAGGTAAAAAAAAAAAAAAAGAGAGTAGAACCTTTTCCCCTTGGCTCAGGCCCAGCTCTCGCTCAGGGAGGGAGGAGAGGTGAGAGTAGAGCGGGCCAAATTATACCTCCACTACTCCCAAACTCTCACTCCCACTCTCACTTTCTGGAGGGAGAAAGAGCTGAGCAGCGCTCAGAGAATGGATCTTACTTTAGACTCACTGGAACACACTGACACTGTGATGTCATGCCAAACCCATGAGTCAACCTAACGTCCATATTAGCTTTTGCCAAATCAGCTTTAAAGACTTTTAAAAGTGTGTGCGTGTGTGTTTGTATGTGCACAGTGTGCATGTGTGTGTTTGTGTGCGCAGTGGGGGTGTGAGGGCATATTCAGGTCTACTCTTGTGGGAAAAAGAGAACTTTGACAAGATGATAGTTAAGAAGCAAGGTGTGAATAAACTTCAGCACAGTCATCTTTCTCTGTCTCTTTCTCTCCCCTCTCTCTAATCTCTCTCTCTCTCTCTCTCTCTCTCTCTCTCTCTCTCTCTCTCTCTCACACACACATAAATAGAAACATTATATTCACAAACATAACATAAACATCAACCAGACCCACATTCCCTCTACCAACCCAAGGGGCCTTAGACCTATGTGGTCCACTAATTGGGATAACCGCGTCTACTGAATGACTAGCACGCAGCATGTTAAACAGAATGTCGATGTTGGTGCCCCGTGTGAGGATTATTGTGTACCCTACATGTTGGTGCCCCGTGTGAGTATTATTGAGTACCCTACATGATTATTGAGTACCCTACATGTTGGTGCCCCATGTGAGTATTTAGGCAAAAATGTAGTTATACTTTAACCCTTCAAGAGGGAATGATATGGTTCAGTTAACATATCATACACATGACACATGATGATTTGTTACTCTTGGAGATCTAAGACCCCTTCGGCTGAAAGCACTGAAGCATAAAAGATCATCTGACTGAAAAATAAAGGAGCAGTTAGTTAGCAAAGAACACCAAAGCAATACTAAAACCTGGTCCAAAAACAACCTCTTAACACCTTGCCCCACGTTACCTATACCCATCTGATTCTTTGAATTCTACAAAGTGAGGGTATAAAGGTTAGGGTGAGGAACTAGGAGTTATTTTTGGACTGAACCACACTCAGTAACTTCAGGAAGACGAGGCTCGGTTGGGAAATACAGACACACTGAAGTCCCTGGTCATGTGGCGAGGGAGTGGATACACCACAGCACAGCACAATGTTTACTGTCACAGTGTGAGTGGGCTTTGATTGGATTGGAGTGAATGTATGTATAGTGTATGGGTTTGAAAGTTCTGGTTGGATTGGATGTGTGTGTATGGGTTTGAAGTAGCTTTGGTCGAGTTGGGTTGGACGTACAGTGTATGGCTTTGAAGAAGCTTTGGTTGGGTTGAATGTGTGTGTATGGGTTTGAACATGAAGTAGCTTTGGTTGAGTTGGTTTGCACATGCAGTGTATGGATTTGAAAGCGGTTTGATTGGATGTGTATGTGTGGGTTTGTAACACAGTGGAGCTATGTGTTGGATACTGTGAAAGGACCTATAGGGTGCTATATTGATTTTCAAACAAGCTGTAGATGGTACCATATCATGGATTGTTTGTAGAGTAACCTTTGCACTATTGGGATGTGAAAGTTAAATAAATGTGATGCTTTTGATGATTGGTCAGGTGAAACTGGGGCTTGTGGTAGAAAGATGATTGAAGGAAAGGGGGGCTGGGGGACTTGAGAAAAGGAGGATGATAGTCTTTGAGCCTTGGATGGTAAAACAATGTCTGTGAAAGGAAGAACAGGCCAGAGGTGGTAAGATCAGTCACAATGTTACAGCCAGGATCATTTCCTGTTTCAGGTCAAAGGTCAAGATGATGTGGTGGTAAAAACGTTTTTTTAAAATCACAGTACCAATATCAGTAAGGTTATACTTTGGTAGGTGTTGTGACTGATTTTACACCCCTGCCCTTTATGGTCAATGGATTGGTTCACATTAAGAGTCAATGTGTGCTGGGTCAACAGGTGGTGCTGGTTGATTACAGCACAAGCTCATATCAAGGTGAAGGGGTTAAAGTCAAGTGAAACTACATTGAATCCAATTATGTATGAATCATTTAGGATTTTAGAGACAGCAAACATTGAGTCATAAGGTCAGATAAAAAATAAACAAGTAAATCAGAAAAGATTCTGGTGGATTTCCCAAAATGCACTGCTCCCCTATTCACCACCAATGACAAAAAGAAGAAACAAAAATGGAACCGAAAATAAAATAAAAGTTGAGGATGGTGAGAAAAGAGGAGCAACAGAGCAGTTTGAGGAGCCCAGAAGAAAGAGGCAAAGAAAGAATAACATCATTCACAATGACAGCGCATGGTAAGTCATATACGCACACAAACACGCAAAAATGCACGGATACAAACACACACTCACACACACACATACACGCACACACAAAGACATACAAAGACACACACGAGTTGTGCTGGTACACATGGTAGACTGACACACACTTCTTTCTGAGTCTGACTTGAGCAGGATGGACCAATTGGAATGGAGACTGGAATGGCGAAGGCAGGCGATTGGACAGCAGTGAGTGGAAGGCGGGGTTAACAGGGCGAGATAGTGATGATGGGCAAATGAGAATATAAGCATATAAGAAACAGACCAATGAGATTTCAGCGTTTCAGCAATACAGTAGACAGCACATTTTCCCCCTTCAACCCTCTATGGGAAAGTCCAAGTCCAAGTCTAATTCAAACACAACTATTACC